CTTAATGAGAAAGGCTCTGAGTCACTGAAGCCATTAGCCAGAATAAAAGAGGCTTAATTGTTTTGTGTGTGCACGTGTGTGTGTTTTACTGCGTGCACATGTGCCTGAGCTAAAACCAGGCTAATTAAATCCATTTCCTTCGTTAGCAACTTTTTTCCCCTCTTAATTAAGAGGGTTAATTATGGGCTTGGACAGAGGTCGTGTGTGTGTTTGTGTGCATGTGAATTCTCCAGAGCAGACCAGATGTAATGGTGCAATCTGTATCAGAGGCGTTTAACGCAATGGGCGTTCATGGCTGAAATCAAACAGCCTTTGATACAGTCACAGCCTCGGCACATTTGAAAGTGCCGATCAAAGTGGGGAGTTTGTTCATTGAGAAAAGATCTGAGGACAACCAATACTGTGATACGAAGGGAGTGCACACTGCGATTGAAATCTGCCGACACAGTTAAGGGTTGATGTACCATGGACAGGTAATTCCTACTATGTTACTACTAATTCTGGGTGAAGAAGGGTTGGACCAGTGATGTTAAAGTTCAAATTCTCTCTCTGGTCGATGCTGCACCAGCCACACTAAGCTCTAAGTGGGTGTAAAGTCCTCGGTAAACACAGGCTGTCATGGCGCATCATCATGAGAGACAAGTAGAAGGTTTTGCTCACTGCTCTGTGAAAGCAATATACTCTTTGCAATTACAAATCATTGCGTTGAACATTAGAGGCATCATCTGGTTTTACAGGTCTAGTGACACAATTTAAGTGTAAGAGGTGTTAGTGTGGACTTTATACCTTAACTTCAAACACAACCTATACAGAGGTGGTGTAACATGACCAAGCTACTGAGAGATTCTCTCACTAGCTATGCTGTTGTTGCACAGAATGCAGGACAGGAGGGCAAACCACTTTTTGATTTAAGTTATTAAGACATAAATTCAAGCTTGTTCTGGTCTTTATTTGGAAAAGCATTATAAATTATGTGGCTAATCTCAGCTATGTTATTGTGCTACAAATATGGACATTTTCAGTGTTCTCTGGTACCCCATGTCTATTTTTATATTTATTTTTTATCTCCAAAATGGGCTGCATCCCACACATCAGTGTGACCAATGTCTGAATACATCTTAAAGCAAAGCAGTCTAAGTGCCACAACTTTTTTTAAACAAAAAGGAAAGGACCAAAAATGTAGAACCCAAAAAAGGATTTATTTGAAAATAACTTAATGGAAAGCAACAAAAACTTACTTTAAATCAGTGGTTCTCAAGTCCAGTCCTCGAGGCCCACTGTCCTTCATGTTTTGGATGTTTCTCTGCTCCAACACACCTGATTCAAATGATCAGCTCGTTATCAAGCTCTGGAATGGCTTAATAACGAGCTTATCATTTGAATCAGGTGTGGCAAAAAGGCAAAAAAAAAAAAAAAAAAACCACAAGAGGCAAAAACAAAGGAACCAAACAATCACAGGGAGCAACTTGGGAGATAGGCATACACACAGAGACATCGACATACAACACAATGAACCAACAAAGAAACAGGGGAAGACAAGGACTATATATACACACACAGGGAAACGAGCAACGAGAGGCAGGTGAGACACTGAGACACAGGTGCAGACAATCACAGAGAAGTAAAACAAGACTAGAAACACAGTAAATCAACAACTACAAGACTGAACTACAGGGGAACAGAAACACTACAGAAACTACACTAGAGAAAATCACAAAGAAAATACTATTAAATAACAAAACCAAGGAAAAACTAAATCATCAGAACATATCATGACATTTACTCCCTCATCAGGTCATAATTAAGCATTAGAATATGAAACTATGAAATGCACAGTGCCGTGTGTTTGAGGGGACTCTTCAATTTCAGGAATCATGTGACCAGCGAAGGTGAGTTGAGAGAAATGTATGCAGCATTTCCATTCAGGGTTTTTGTAACTAAACCCCTGCAGCCAAAAGTTAAACAATCGTCATCAAGAGTAAGTCATGACTATTAAAACAAAAGCTGTATAACCAAGCAAATTAGAGAAACTGCACTTTGATTTTGCTGTTGGCAAATGTCGACACCTGTGGTACTATAATCACCTCATTAGATGGCGCAGAAATCAAAGCCGCACTCCTACTTCCGTGTGCAACTCCAACACATTTTGATTGAAAATTCAATTTGGGCAAACATGGCACATCTTCATGGTTTTATTTGCAGAAGTAAGAGGCTCCATTACAGCCAGACTGTTTAATGTGAGCTGCACAGACATGTTTTTTTTTTTTTTTTTTTACCATACAAACCCGCCTGCAGCTTGAAGAGGAGTCAGCAGAGTGTAAAAGGTGTTAATGTGCTGCTATGGCCGTAGAGAATCATCATCATCATCAACATCATCATCATCATGGAAATAGTCGCCCACCCACAGATGTCTAACGGTTATGGCGGCATGGACCCAAGTTGACAAGCAAAATGGCAGAGTCCTGATTCAGCCATTTTCCCCGCAACAGGATGTGTGACCTCAGGGCATGAGTGCACACACACACATACACACAGAGAAAAAAAACACACTCTCACATTCACACACAGGCCATCAGAAGTAATGGTGTGTGTCCACAGGCAGACAGGGAGAGTCTTCTCATGTCCGGCAGCCATAATGATATTATTGCTGTAGATGGAGCGTGCTGGGGAATATGGTTCCACATCGTTGGTATTCTGCAGACATCCACTGGTACCACACACCGGCAGTGATGACAGAAGTCGGTGTTCACACCAGAACGGTCGGTTGATGCCTCTGACATGAAACCAAAACATGTGGGTTCTTCCCACAGAGAGAAAAAACATCCCTCAGTTTTGACCTCAGACTGGATTTGTGTGAGTATTTCGACAAGGAAGCTCCAGTGACTGTTGTTGCAGCAGGTCAACCCATCCTGATCTTCTTCTCCTTTGTAAACTGCTTAAAATCCACAGCACCTGCAACTTCACAGAAAAGATGCAAGTGTTGATGAATGGCCCACATACCTTTTCACACTCAAGCCAAGTTTTCATTTTAAAAATGTTTATAAAAAAGAATATACACAGAATATACATTTTTCTCCCCCCTTGGTTGCGATGTTGACATGTAGTTACTGTAAGACTGGTTTGTGCTCAAGTCCTCTTTTTTTCTGTGAATCTCCATTTTTAAAAGTTATTAGGGGGTTCATGTTTTCTTTGATTGACGCCTGATGCAGCCTATTGGCGTTCAGGGATTGCATAGCTCACCCAGGGGATGCACTGTTTAAGCCAAGCGTCATCACTGCGACTCTCCCACCAAATGCGCACAATGCTACTGCGCAGCGCTGGTTTCAGGAAATGAAGAAAAATCCCAGAAATACAGAGAGCTTTTTGGCTTCAAATCCGTATACAGGGGGGAGGCGGAACCAAAGGTGTCCATGGTATATACAGTCTATGGTTGAAATGCAATATTGAAAAATAAATGTATTTTGTCAAAATTCTTGTTACAATTTTTATTACTAATTTCTGGATAATTAGGACGAGCATTGGGAGGCCACAATGCAGGAAGAGCAGTTGGCATGGAGGTGAGGACATCAGTCTTAAAGTATAAATAGATGTTAAAAAAGGCCAATTTTTTTTTGCCGCCAGCCGAACACATCAAAATGCTTAAGTCCCACTATTTTCATTTTCTGAAATTCGGCAGCCCTGATTTCCTTTTTCTTACTCAGCTGACGGAAACCCCGTCAAGATGCTCCACGGCTCTGTTTCAGGGCGAGGTTTTTGGGTGTGTGTCTGTCTCTGTGCCTCTGTTTGTGCATTTCATGTCGCTGTCACACTTCCTGCTATTGCATCGTTAGCTGTGGCTTTTTATTAGCCTCTGGTGAGTTGGAGGTGGGAGGGGGGTCAGCATCGCTCCGGCAGTAAACTAGCGTAGCCGTCAGTGCCGCACAAAGGAACAAACACCCCATTAAACCGAGGCCTTCACATATTACTGTAATAAAAGCCCCTGCTCTCGCCTTTATGGGCTTTTTAATTATGTCTATTCGTCTTCCTGGGCTTGTGAGCAACAGTTCATGATGAGCCCCATTTCAGGAATACTTCTGCCACTGGCAGGAAGCTGGAGGGGGGGAATTAAAGGGAAAAGGCGAACATGGCCTGGAGCTAAAATATGACCATTGTTACTGGGAAGCTATTTTATGTTTTAGCTCGCAGCATGGAGCCAATGACGCTGCTTTTTCATGCCAGAGTTTCTTTGTTTTAGATGTGGAGTGGCACAAAGAGGGAAAAATCTCATGCAGCTTCAGTGAATTACATGGTAGCTTTGTGGTAATGGTGTGTGTTAAATCATCTCCCTGAGTTGAGGGTAAAGTCTGGACCAGCTGCATGCTCTCTAGGAAAATTAACCAAACTGATCATCCATGCCTAAATTTAAAGTGTTCATTTTTGCTCATTTAATCGTTGCACCTTCACTTTATTAATATTTGCACATCCACAATAATACAAAGCTTCCAAACAACTCACAAATTACAAGACACACCCCTGCACCACATGCAAACGAGTTATATTCAGCAAGGTTTTATTTCTCCGCATCATGCCTGACAGAGTGTGTTTACTCTGGCTGCACGGTATTAAAGCACGCTGATTTATAGAGCAATATACACTCCTCATTGTGAACACTGCATCCAGTTTATAGCCTGGTCATTTTCTGCAAGGCCGGACACGACAGCTTAACCCCTTTTAACCCTGAAGGACTATAACATGTAACCCTTAAACACAGTGCAGAGGGGACGCAGATGCAAACAAGGACTGACTTCTGCAGCGAAAAAAAGTATCTGCTTAAAAGCAAACCGCCCTTAAATAAAAGTTCTGACAGTTTGCAGGGAGGGGCTAATATGTGAAATATGCAGCTCGGGATGTGTGCCTTTTTCTTAAGCCTTTAATATAAAGATTACTTTGTTGTGTTTGACTGAACCCACTAAAGACCAAATAAGTCAAAATTATGGTTGGATATGTTTTATTGTCTCTAATCAGGTACAAACAGCATGCCCAGTGGGTTTTTGCAACCTGCTGTAAATGACAGCACCCATAAAAAACAGCAACACCGCAGTCAGTGCTGCACCTACTCCACACATCAGAGCGAGAGAGGAAGAGGAGGCTGAGGAGAGAGGATAAAACATCGCTGACATTAGCTGCAGTATTTAAAAGCTCCAGTGAAGAGTGTTTGAGTAGTCATGAACAGACTGAAATTAATGGATCTTTATGGAGCAGAAAAGCAAACATGACTATCAGTTTGATATAATTTTGCAGTTCCTGGAAATGATGCTGCAGAACCAGTGTCGGACAGGCAGACAAAACTCAAATGCAGCTGTTTAAAATCATGCAAAGATGTATGAAAGTTTTATTTTTGACTGTTAAGAGAAAGCAGGAGCGTTTTTTTAAGATATGAGGTATCACTTTGTCCTCAAGGGGGCACCAAAGTCAACACAAAGTGAATTACAAAGTTTCAAGCTGAAGCAGCGATAAGGAGATGAAGGCAGAAAATTAGGCTATGTTCACACTGCAGGTCAATCACGATTTTTTTAACCATATGTGACACATATCAGATTTTTTCATGTAAGTGTGAACAGTGCAATTCTGATTTTTTCAAATCAATTTTCAAAATTTTTCACATCAGGTATCTGATGTGACTGCTGGCGTCGGACTTGCTTCGTAGAATAGGCCCCTGGTCGCGTTCATCCGACCTATACGTCATCAATATACGACAAACGTCACCATTGTTTGACAACACGAACAGGCGCGGAAAGCAATTCGTGCTTTGTGCGCATGTGGGTCACTCCACGGACGCATTCCGTTCATATTAGATGCCCCATTCGTTGTTGTAATGTGAACGACCGCACAAAAAGATCGGATTTAACAAAAAATCTGAATTATGCGTCATAACCTGCAGTATGATCATAGCCTTAGGTGAAAAAAAAAGAGGGGGATCCCATGTTACCATTTGGAGTTACTCCCTGTGGAGCTGGCTCAGGAAGAAGCGCCACCTGCAGGACTTTCTCCTTCAGCAGGATGGGACCCAGAGCAGCTATGCCTTCCCACTCCGGTTCTACATCACGCCCTGCAAAAAAACGCAAACCAATCAGTGAGTTTAGCCAGCTGATGCATAGTCCTGATTGAAAACATTGTTAAAAGGGACACACACAAAAAAAATCAGTCTGCTAAAGATGCAGAAAGCATACTTAGGCAAAGTAAAGCACAAACGCTGGTTTAACTAAGTTTGTAGCTTCTACACCAACATGAAAACTATCAATACATTTTGATTTTGATTTTGATTACTGGACCACAAGTGTTTAGTGTGCATCCCGATGTGTAATAGGGTGTTGCGTCTATTAACTGTACCTGCATTTGCTGCAGGACTTCTCCTCTGTCTCTGCAGGCTGCAGCTGCTCTCACAGCAGTCACACACATTATTGTCTCCACCTGATGCCACCCATCTGTCTCCACCCACAGCCACAGAAAACAGGTATCAGACACTGTACGAGTCTTGTCATAACATTAGAGATACACGAAAAATTGTTTGAAAGAGAAATACCATTGAGTGCCTGCAGGATTGATCGGACAGTAACATGAGAGACATTAATCTGAACTTCATCTTTTTATGAATAATCCGACCTTTTTGCTTCAGTCAGGTATGAACAGGCTTTGTGCTGTGAGTTCACAGGGACAGAGACAGATGTTGCTTTGAGATGACAAGTGATGTAGAGCTGTGAGAAAGTGAAGAAACATATAAACTCCATTAATCATAGATTACTTACACTGCCCAAACTGCATCTTTACCAACTAAAGGTTCTTACATACCTAAAAATACACCAAAAATTCACCCCAAAATGAGAAACTTTCCTCACAGCGATCTTAAGTGTTAAAAAAAAAACCTTTTCCCTCCTCTCACTGATTTTCTTTTTTACTTGGCACTGAATTATCCTCTTCATTCCATCTTTATTCTTCAATGCAAATTAAGAAATCTTCCTAAACTTCCTTCTATATCCAGGGCCATCGTACTCTTCCATATTTGGTTCCAAACCTTGATAAAATCTCTCAAAACAGCCTGTTGTACTTGAAAGTTGGCTTTCCTGTTTGGCGGAATCATCACTGCTAATTTCATTTGAAGAATTCATCCAAAACTTAAGATTGCAGGAGTTATTTATAAGTTCACATTGGCTCATATTTATGGCGCAGCTCTGCTCTGACTTCACGAACAGCGGATATTAAAGTTATTTAGTTTAGACGCCACCTGAGAGGACGTTCATTTCCTCACATTGGAAAGTGTTTGCTGCAGAGTAACTGAGAGGATTACAGCCTCTGAATAACACTTACTAAAGTGTTCATTATGAGCCAATAGAGCCACTAAAAAAGGTCAAAGTAGCACCCAAACTGGCGTGAATCAAGCCAAAAGCAGCCTGAGATTTAAAGTCTGACGTCATAAGACACGACGAGTTGTTTGAAAGTGTGTAAACACCTCTCTTATACTTTCTGTACTTACTGAATTTCTCTGATCTTGGTGGAACTTGAAGGCTTTCAGCTGGAAGTGAAGTTTATCCTCCTGGCTCCGCTGCATGAAGTAAGACTTGGCTCCTGTCAGCTTAGCATCACTTAAACACCTTAAAAGGTAAAATACAGACGCAGGATTCAGACTTATAAACATATTCCTGCTCTTCACGGGACAATAAATGCTCTTAAAAAAGGTGCAGAGCTGCACATTTCAAACTTTAATCTTAAGTATTATGACTGGCTGACTCTTCAACACAAACACAACCTCTTAAAATGTTTATATTCTGGTTTAAGTCACGTTTATTTGGCGTTTTCTCACCCGTGGTTACTGATGAAGGGGTAAATAAGTTCAGAGTCAAGGTCAGGAGTCACGCCGGCGACGCAGCTGTCCACATACACCCTCAATGGTATGTGGTGGCCCTGCATGACCGCTGCTTCGATGTGCATCACGTCACTCAGGAAGTAAACACTGGAAGCCCTCTGCGTCTGCCAGTCCTCTAATCGAATACAGAAGAAGTGGAAAAATAATGCTGGGGCCATCGATCTGATTAGATGAAGCTTAAATGATGCCTGTGAGGGAGAGTGGGGCTGTGAATAGGAAATAGGTACTGGAGGAATAAGAGAAAAGTGCTTCAAAAAAGGAGCAATAAATGAATTACAGATGCAGCATCATTATTAACCTGGATAGGAAACAGATGCCTGAAAAGTAGCTCCAAACTTTCATTACTTCCTTTCCAAAATGATGCTAACAAAAGTTTTGTGCAGCATGAAGCTTGGATTAATTAGAAAACATAATCAACAGTTTATTGATCACATTATCAGGTTGGATGCAGCCTGTGAGGCCTGTAATTTCAGCTCATCACCATGCATCAAAAACTTTCTGTTTAGCATCTTAAACAGTCGCAGAGAAACTCCGCAAGGCCTCCGTGTGATTGCAATTAGCCGCCATCGCTTGGGAAATTAGCCACAACCTTCTGCTGCAAATCAGCTGAAGTTTTGTTGTTTTTTGACGCGTCTTCGCCCACCTGTCATGAGGCGCAGGGAGAAGTGCAGCCGCTGTTCCGCCAACGTGTTGGAGGCGAATGTTGTCCAGGTAGGCCTCAGGACGTCGCTGCTCACGTAATGTCTCCTGTGAGGACAGTCACAGAAAGGATGTGTATTTTTAAGTGAGATGTACTCAGAAGAGCGTGTTTCTCACTCATTATTTTTGCTAAATAACTCTCTACACTGACATGTGGAGCCTCCTACAGTAGATATACTCAAACTCCATGCATCCATTTGTCGCCATCACATGCAAAAACCAGAGTAATATTGATCAGTATTATCCAAAGCCTCACCTAAGGTAGTGACACTGAATCACCACCTCTGCATGGTTGCTTCTTAAAATGAAGGTGTTGTCTATGGGTGTCGGAGAGTAGATCAGAGAGAAGGAGTAGATGAGGGCGTCTTCAGTCATCTAAGGAAATCACAAAACTGTTATTATGCTCACGAGTGACTTCTTTTGAGCTTTTTCTAATAGCACAAGGGCAAAGCAAATGAAGATGACAACTACGTTCTGTGTGGATTGAAATAAGAATAGTCAGAGGGGCGAGGGACAGATATAAAGCCAGTCTGTTTGCTCCAACACAACCTGATATTATGCAAAATCTATGGCTCCACATGTTTTAATAACACAAGCCAGTGATGTGACTGACATTTTTTTAGTTGGCATTATTGTCCTCTTGATAATACAGCATACATTCACCCACTGAGCAATAAATGGCTATTAGACGCCTAGTTTTTTTAAGACCTAATTTCATCCGTCCAGATTCTGTGTATTTTTAGACGGAATTTAGACGTTTCACTTTAACCCATTATTCGATAACTATTTATTTCAAAAAGCAACTGTGAGTTGCATAACTCATCTCCAAGTACTTAACCAAAATAATAATGATAGCCGTTGAGCAATTTAAAGTGTAGTATAGTTATAGCCCAGATTTAGATTTGGTCTGAACTTGGTCTAACTTTAGACGTCTTAGGAAACTTTCAATTTAGACCTGTGGTAGCCTGATTTTAGACCAGTCGTCTAGGCTACATTTAGACGTCTATTAGACCTCTTTTAGACCAAAAAATGCTCACTGGGTAAATATTTGTCTTATTATGCAAAGCTCCCTTTCAGGAAGTTGAAGACTAACCGTCATCATGCTGCCGCAGCCGTGCAGCTCAGTCTGAAACTTCAAGACGTGGCCGCCAGAGTCGGCTGCAGCACAGCCCCCTAATGTCAGATCGCCTGGACGGATGAACTGACCGTTACCTGAGGACAAAGAAGCAGTTTGAATCAAGACCATTACAGAGAGGCTGTTTCTTTTTCAGCTCCTGTCAATAACACTCTGGTGTGGGACAAGGTTCCCCCTCTGCAAAGTCAGCATTTGAGCTCTAAAGAGAAAGAACACTTGTTCTTAGAGTGAGGAAATAAAGGGAAACAGAATATTGAATGCTGTGCTGTTTGCTGTAATCAGCACAGAGAGTCTCATCCTCACTGAACCATTACTGTCCAATTTAGACCTCTAACCTGAGCTTGTACTTTTAAAGACACAAGAACAAAAAGCTGTTAGCCCAAAGCAAGTAATCTGATTGGACGAGGGGCATCCAATGAGTGCTGATAGAGTAGAACAGTATTTATTTATCACTCTGCTGCAGGTGTATACATGCCAAAACCACCTTAGTGCCAATAATAACAGTACTCCCAATGTAAACAAAACTCCGCAATCATTGGATTCAAACAGACGGATATTACCCAAGAAGTTCTGTTTGGCCTCTACGGTGACCTTGTCTTCACCACATCGCACTGTCACACTGTCAGCAGGCACATGAACCCGCTGCTTGAACTCCACCTGCACCAAAGTATCAGTTTAAGTCCATCAAACTCAACTTTAAAAGTAAAAAAGGAAGAAACTCAGGGTTTTTGATGTACCTTTGTTCTCTCTTTGACAGGCGGGTTGAGATCAGGGCCTTGAATCAATGTCAGAAACTTCTTCACATGGATGTTTTCCCACTCCTCCAGCTGCTCCCAGGTCGGCCCTCTGGCCTCCCACCTCTGCAGGTTTTCAAAACCTTGCTCCACCAAATTCTGGACCGGTTTGTGTTTCCTCACAGCCGGGTTCCAGATCTCGTGGACCTTGAGCCGATAGCTGACAGGAGAGCGGACTGGACCGCTGTGCTTGGTCCGGTTTGACTGATGACCTGTCGTCTGCAGAGACCTCGGCAGCTGTGAGGCTGATTTCTCTCGTTCTTGTGGGTTCAGAGTTTCATTAGAGTTTAAGCTGAGAGAGTTTTGTGCAGCAGCAGCTGAAAAGAGGAGGACAAACTCAAATAAAACCACTTCCCTGAACCCCATCACTATGTTTCCGATCAAACCTTGAATGTTAGGAGTTTCAGAGGCTTGATGCTGTCTGTCTTCAGACCAAATCTCAATGAAGAGGACTGGATTTAGACCCCACCCACTCCTAATGACTTGATTGGACTCCAGCCTGCAGGAGAAAAGCTCTGACACTTGTTCTCTTCTCTTTTTGAAGTTTCATTAATGTCTAAAAGTGAAAATACTCAAAGAGATCATGCTGATCCAACCAAACTCAGCTCTTTTTTTGCACGTATTTCCAGTATTTCCAACAAAATCCTGCAAAATAACGTTCATTTTTAATAAAAGTTTCCTGCACTTATTTGTATGAATTTTTTTTAAAGATAAGTTGTCTGTGTGACCGTGCAATGCGATTTAATTTTTCATCTTTTTGTTTTGTTGTTGTTGAATTATAAGGGATATGGAGCTGCTCAACCCTCCCCTTGTTTTAACTATTGTTTAAAGATAATTTTAGAGACATTTTTTCACTTTAGTTTAGAGTCGCCTTTCGTTGTGTTTGTTTCTTTGAGCAGCACTCCACATCTCTGTGTTCCTCGCCTCAACTTTTTCTTAAACATTGTTAATTATTTCTTTCCGATATGGATTTCTTGGGGCCAATGCCTCCGCATCTGAACTCACGTTACTCATTTCCGGTCCGGTCTCATCTGGAGACATGCAGCTGCCTCAGTGAGAGAAGTAGCTCGATCACATTATGTGTATTGTTGTTTATTCTACCATTACTGGCACGGCTAACAGTGTAGCAAGGCTGATAGCAGATGGGAACTCCGATGAAGATTGTCATGAGGTCATTGCATCATCATTAGGATAAGTCGGGGAACTTTTCAAATGGCGGAACATTTTCAAAGTGAATCCAAATCTTAGTCTCTGCATTTTATTTCTGAAAATATCGGTGAAAATCGACAAGTTTTGGCTGATTATCGATTAGTCTCAAACGAGCTAAAATTGGCCAATTTAATCGACCTGCCGATAAACCGGTCAGGCCCTAGTTTTATGTTGCATCCTCTACCCTCACGAGCTGGGTTGTAACAGTCTAGTAGGCAAAGTAAGGATTTCTATCCATTTAAACAACAGTTAACAACAGTAGAGCAAAGCCTGAGGTGTCATAAGCTTTTAAATGAAAAATGATCAATATACCTTAAAAGCATGTTTTGGGCCTGGAAGAGGAAGCTGGAGGGAATTTAATGCATGCAAAGAAAGCATGCAAATTGCAATGAAAGCCCCAACCAGGATTTGAACCCGGAACTGTCCCGGTGTAAGGCAAACCACCCAAAAGCTTCTGTTCTGAAGCTAATAAAGACCTTAATGAACAGACATACAATACATCTGACCCTAACAGCACGTGGCGTTGACTGCCCCCCTGAGACGAATCACTCCTTGCCCTCAGGGAGCTGAAACCTGCAGAGGGTTTTTTTTTTTTAATGCTTTTCAGCTCGTACTTGAATGTCGAGGTCAGCAGTCTGCAGATCATAAACTCAGATTTATGATCCTGCTTGGAGAGACTTCACAAACGTCACCAACGACAAATGTGGGAGCGTGTGCGTGACATGTGACAGAAGGCAGAGGGCGGGGCTTAAGACAACAGGCATGTCAATCACACATTGACGTACAGGGTTTAAATCTTGCAGTTATGAGACAACACCTTCAACTGCTGTGGTGCTCAGATGGGGATCAGATGTTGTTGTTAAAGTTGAACTTGATTTAAAAAAATGTTTATGATGGCCCACAACAAAAGCCATTTCTTTAAAAAAAGTGGTGTAGCTTTTAGCAAACTTACCTCTAATAGAAAAAGTGCATTTGTTTGGCACTATTTAAAGCAGCGTATTAATGCACATTTGATGCCAGTGAGTGCACAGTTGCAGAAAAGTGCTTTGGATTGATTTTTTTGGTGCCCATTTTCTTGTAAAGTGAGTCTTATTGATGTTTTTAAAAAATAAAGAGCATTTATCTGTGGCACATCCAAAGTTTACTGCTCTTTTTTTCTAACTTGTGGACAACAAGATGTGTTTTTGCACCTTCAAGCTCCTGTAATGACTTTGTAGCTGGTTATGAAACAGACTAAAATCAATGCTTAATGTGTCTGTATGACCCTGCAAGAGAGAAGATGACCAACAGAAATCAAACAATTGTTGCTATGTGATCATATTCAGTGTTTAAAACCACTGGCAGGAGATACAGTCTTAGGGATTGAAATATGTGCTGCATTTTCCATGACGAAGATTTTCAGTGGGTGAATGCTTTAAGTGCTGAAAGAGAGTGGGAAAAATGAGTGGATTTGATCAACAGTACACAATGTAAGGGCCCGACTGATATGGATTTTTTTGGGCCAGTTGCCGATTATTGGGGGGTTATAACCAGGTTATAACCAGGTAATGTTTCAGGTTATAACCAGGTTATAACCTGGTTATATCCTGAGACATTACCTGGTTATAACCTGGTTATAACCTGGTTTTAACCTGAAACCTTCCCTGGTTATAACCAGGTAATGTCTCAGGTTATAACCTGGTTATAAGACATTACCTGGTTATAACGTGGTACTGTGAGAAGTTAGTGGATGAAGATTGTCACGAGGTCGCTGCGCCATCTACAGGATAAATCGGGGAACTTATCAAATGGCAGGACATTTTCGAAGTGAAACTGAATCTTATTCTCTGCATTTTATTTCTGAAAATATCGGCGTTTTGGCAGATTACTGATAAGTCTCAAACGGGGTAAAATTGGCTGATTTCATCGGCTTGCCGATAAATCGGTCGCGTCCTACATAATATCATTACAAGATTCAGAGAATCATGAGAAATCTCTGATGGTCCTGATCTTGAGGCCTTCAGGCAGCTCTACATTAAAAACAGACAGGACTCTGCAGTGGAAATCACTGCATGAGCTTAAATCACATTCCAAAACCAAAGCCAACATCCCAGATGGTACTGGGATCATCAGAGTCCATGACATGAGTAGCTTCCACATCTGTGAAGGCTCCACTAGTGCTGAACTATATCCACAGGTTTATGATCAACATCTGCTGCCATCCAGACGATGACTTTTTCAGGGAAGACCTTCAGTAGATATCAATGCTAATAGAAGTTAATATGAAGAAACTTCTGTTTGAAAAGCTGAATTTGTTGAATTTTTTTCTTGTTGGAACAGACACAGTAATCTGGTCTGACCTACAGGAATACATTACAGCTCCTCTCTCTGTCAGGATCTCCCTGCAGACCCCAACAGAGAGGCTGCTATTGTCAGGAACCGGCTTTTATCTTCTGCTGATCAGCCACAAAACAAAGAGAGGAGGTGTGTGTGTGTGTGTGTGTGTGTGTGTGTGTGTGTGTGTGTGTGTGTGTGTGTGTGTGTGTGTGTGTGTGTGTGTGTGTGTGTGTGTGTGTTGTTCAGAGGGGCTGGAGTGAAATCAGTCCATCCCTGCCAGTCAGACCCCCTCTGCTGCTGATCTCTAACTTGGTTAGCTGCCTCTAATTTGGCCCCTGGAGGGTCCTAATGTGGCCCCCTCGAGGGCTTCTGAAAGGGGCCTGGCTGCCTCTAAATCCACACACACACACACACACACACACATAAACACACACTCACACACAGCTGCCACTCCCATCAGCCTCTGTTTCCAATAATCCTGCTGCATTTGGAGACAAGGACAGGATGATGCAGGTAAACAGGCATTTTCTCTGTTTAGATGATAAACACACACACACTCACACACACACAAACATCCACCAGATGGAAAACTACGCCACAGATGCTCAATGACAGTTACACACTCTCGTACACACACTCTTCCTGTCCCTGGTTTCGTTTTGCTGACAGCACAAAGTCATGCAAACGGCTCGATTTGGCCCTTGCCGCTCTGCACCATACGGATAACGGTGATGGAGGCTCATTAAAAACATGTAGTGGGAGATGGATTAGTTAGACCCTGCTGTTGTGGTGGGCGAGCAGCATTCAAGATCAGCGGATTTCTATGTGTTTTGTCAGCGAAGAGGTTTGCGTGGGACAGGGAGTTTTTTTTTTTTTTTCACAGAGGGATATTTTGTCTTCCAACATTCACTGGCTCCGTTTTCACTGCTTCTGTTTAGAACTATCTCTGCATGTCGGTTGTTTTTACAGGGAACAAACATGGAGATGCAGGGGTGTAAAAATGGGGGGAAAGGGGTGCCGAGGACCCTCGTATGATCTGAAATAATAGACTAAACAGTCCTGGGTAATCAGCATATAACGTTACAGATGAACAACAACTTAAGAAATAATGACATGATATGCTGCAGACAAACCTCCGTGGCTGATACTGCTGGCTGTTGTATTTTGTGAGTGTTTACGATGGAGCACTTCCCACGGTTCAGATACTAGCCTCCTCTACAGCGAAGGCTTTGCTGATATCGGTGCAGCAGACCCACTGGTTATTTTTTATTTGCCACGGGTAACACTTCGGAACCCGGCGGCTACTAGCTAACTAACTAACTAGCTAACCAGCATTCGCGATAACGTTCGCAGTAAAAGACAAACAGGTTACCCACAAAAATGAGAATCAAAGGCTGGTCTACTGAAGGAAAAGTTCTTGTTTGGCCACCCTAGTAGGGCTTGAATGTCCTCTAACTTTATCAGCACAATTAAACGATAAACCAGAGGGGGAAAAAGTTCAGAAATATTATGGAAGTGATTTCTATAGTGCTGTATCTGACGTATTGGGTGACTTTCCAAACTGTCATATTTCGCTTGTTAGGAGAAAAACCAGGCTGTCTGTCATGAAGCTGAAAATGAGAAGCAGGGGAACAAGTGTGAGAGTGAGAAGAGAAAGTGTGGCAGCCTGAAAGAAAGTAGAGTCTCACTTTGAAAGAGGAGAAAGAAAAAAAAGTGGGAACAAAGAAGAAAAGTGAGGCTGGGGGTGTTTGAACCTCAGGGTGAGGGAGGCTGCAGCGCCGCACGTCCCGTTGGGACCGACGAAAAATAACATGGGCCAGCAGCAACCATTCCCAACACGTCACCACACACGGGAACATGCACAAACACACAGACACGCAGGGAGCTAATGGACTGTTATTAAAAACATGCATCACGCCACATCACCGAGCCACCGCACACATCTGCACGGCACTTCCACACACACCGGGGATAATGATCTCCCGGCACTGCAATAACATCTGATGTATCATTTAGCTGAGAGCTGCGGTGACACAAACACTCCGACGCTAGTGGCTAATTCTGACATAGGCTGAAAAACACTCTTTCTTCTCTTCTCGACCTCATTTTTATCTCAACATCCCTGACATTTCTCACGAACGGGTTCTCGTCTCGCTCAATAGCCTGGAAGCAGCCTTTGTCATAATATAAAGGTCTGCAGCGGTTTGATGGACAGGTGTCCTCACCCTAGAGAATCCTGAGCTGACCTTTGACCTCCAGTTCTGCCCTACACCATGAGCCCTGAAGTTTCTCTCGAGGGAGGGACTTTTTATTTTTCATGCTATCTGATTTTGGAGCTTTAACAGAATTCGATGATATTTAACTTTGGTGTCACACTTCCTCTCTGTCTTTTTTTTATTCCCCGGGCAACCTAATTTCCATTCCCCATCTATCCACCAGGGGTCCTGGCCTTTTACTCATTTCTACTGACTTTCTGAGCCATCACTCAACTATTCCAACTTCTCTTGATGGCCTTGATAAAAGGGTACCTTTCTCTTGTTTGGCATTACTACTGAGTTATCCCTCCCCAGTGCCCTCACATCGAAAGAAAAGCCATTAAAGTGCCCTTTCAATGCCTTTGAGTTACATAAAACAGTTGGAAAGGACCCTCCCCAACGGTGGAAATCTCATGGAATAATATACCCTGTAAAATGTCAACAAAGTGACTTCTGGATGCTATTTTGGTAGATAAAATGTAAAACAGGCCCTCCAGTTTTTCTGTTTTAGCAGAAAAATGTAAATTGTTGCTTTTAAGTAATGCAATTTAGTTGTTTTTTAGTACCATCTGGTTTTGTAAATGAAAGTAAAAAGCAGTTCCCTTCTGATCCTCTGACAAAAAGGACATTCATAGAGGCTTTGTCTCTCATTGGGAAAGGGAAGAGATGTGTTAATTTGTAAGAGACTATGGCTTTGTCCAAAATAGATCCTATATAGGCGACTATATGGGGGTTAGCGCCATTTTGAGGGGTGTCCGAAACCTGAGTGATCAATTCCAGTGCTCCATATAGGAGACTCAAAATTTTCCATAGAGCATTGCAAAATGTAGTGACCATCCGATGGTCACTCACCGGTGGTGGGCATCCGGTCATGCATTGCATCATGCCATGTACATTGTTATGTAGTGCCTGAAACCTCCAGTGATTGAGCTCACTACATAGTCAGCCGTATAGTGAAACCCCATATGGGGGTTAGGGATTGAGTGATTCATTTCGGACACAGCCTATGTTAGTATATAGTTCCTATAATTCAAAGATAAGTTCCTTTGCGTAAAATTGCAAAGAACTGTCTTGTTATCTAAAGAATTAAGATTTGACACTCTTTTTGGAAATCAAGGATGATGCATCCTCAACTCTGAAGAGGAGAGGAACCAACATGTATATGTATATTTGGGGGATTAACCTCCATGCTGCTGTTATGTTTATTTAAACTGCATGAATCACCAGTTAAACCCAGTCTATTAATATCAACACAGCAACGTTTGGGCACCTCTCCTAATTAAAAACTTATTAAAATTTGAGCAACTTTCCAACTTATTTTTGGTACCGTTTTATATTCAAATGTGAGTGATAAGTCCTATTTTGAGTATTTGTGTCCCTGATATGCAGTGCAGATGAACTTTTCTCACTTGTCACTTGTTTCCTTGTCCCTCGAGGGTGTGTATGAGCGTAGGTGTCAGTGCAAATGCATATAGATCGATGTTCGTTTCTAGGTACTGATTTTTCTGGGGTTATGTTGCTATTAATATGTGAGTAAATATAACTTTAGTGAAGGAGGGATGGAAAAGGTTTGCAGCTGGCAGTGCTCAGACAATGAGGACTGAGTTTTAGTGAAGCTGGAGACGTCTTGTGCTCTAGAGTCTATAATTTCATAATTACAGAATATCTGAAATCCTAAATCCTGTTTTTGCAGTCTCCCATACTCTTAAATAATCTGCTCTAAGGTTACCCTGTTGCTCAGACTGAGCAGAGGAAGCTATAAATCAAGTGCTACCTCGGATGCAGTTTCTCAAGGCAACATAAGATATTATTTCTCTGCACAGTGGAGAAACTCTGCTTCTGTTGCCTGTTGCCAGCTTCAAATCTGCTCAAAATAGCATCTTCTTATGTTGCAGGAGGAGCTTTAGCAGTTTCAATAGATGTTACAAATTGCTCTGACACATTTTTTGCTCTTGGAAGTTACCGCTACTCCTGTGAGGACGATTTTGCTTCATGGAGAGACAAGCTGTTTCTTTTCAGATCAGTATATTTCCTTTGAAATATCCTCGCCTGACAGCCTCTCTTTTGTGCAGCCTTTTCAGAAAGGAATCTATGAAATGTTTGCATTATGTATGTTTAAGTTCCCATCAACCTGTTCTGGATGGAGATTCCCACCTTAAACTGTGCTGTCACTTTAAAACACCTGCTACGACATGGTGAAAAATAATCTGCATTCACAGATTTGACGGACATATCATGAACCTGTATTTGAGTCTCGAATTTAGTACACAAAGTGTTCACGTTTGTGGTACATTTGCTGTGAAATCTTACAGGCTTTGGGATCAGCAGAAAAAACTGTTTCTATGGGCAGAACACAACCCGTAGTGATGACATCCTGACTCTGGTCTGATGGCTATTACAACTAACTACGCCGGGATGAGGCCTCTGTGTAACTTACTATCTACAGTGAAACTAAGACTACCAAACAGGTGAAGAGGAGTTTGTTTAATATATGTGTAGTAGGATGATGTGTTTGATCCTTAATTGGAAGAATTGTATTTGCCTGTTGTCTTACGACCAGGGCCGTGCATATATTGTTGTCATTGCTGGCACATTTAATACCTGCTTGGTTACGTGGGCCTGATCGGTATGTATCATAGACTGTAAATACTATGGACGACTTGGTTCCGCCTTCCGCCAGTATACGGATTTGAAGTCAAAAAGCTCTTGGTGATTCCACGTCTTCTCTCCATTTCCTAAAACAAACAATGCGCAGTAGCGTTGTACGCACTCCACCACTTGCACAGTAGCATTGTGCGCATTCAGCGGGAGAGTCGCTGTGATCACGCTCGGCTCAAACAGCGTACCCCCAGGTGAGCTACGCAACCCCTGAAGGCCCATAGGCTGTATCAGGTGTTAATCAAAGAAAAAATGAACCCCCTAATAACTTTTAAAAATGGAGCTGTACAGAAAAATGAGGACTTGAGCACAAACCAGGCTTACAATAACTACACGTTAACATCACAAGCAGGGGGAAAAAAATTATGTTCTATGTAATAGATCTCTAAAGTTTATCCACAGCTCCATAAGCTTTGCTGGTGGAGGTGGGATTAATGACCTATACTGCAGCCTGTCATCAGAGGGTGCTGTTCTCAGAGTGGCTTCACCCAGAGAGGAGGTAGACGCGTCCATCCCATATACAGTCTAGGGCAGAGGTTCTCAAGTCCAGTCATCGAGGCCCACTGTCCTGCATGTTTTGGATGTTTCCCTGCTCCAACACACCTGATTCAAATGATCAGCTCGTTAGTAAGCCATTACAGAGCTTGATAACGAGCTGATCATTTGAATCAGGTGTATGCCTTCCGACAATATGACAAGCCTGTACCTCCATCTTCTGCTCCTCTGAAATGAACCAGAGCTGATTTTAGTTTGTTTTAGTTTTTTCTTTTCTTCTGTTTTCCTCTTGGGTTTTTTCTGGGTTTCTTTTCCTTTATTTGTGTTTGTATTTCTTTGGTTTGAGTTCATGGGGAACATCTTTTGTCTTAAGTTTGTTTCCATAGACTACCATTGAATCTTTAGAATCTTTATGAATTCTTTAGTATTTGGTCAATTATTTGTTTTTGCTTATTCCTTTTTTGCTCAACTAGGTCAGAACATCTTATTTTCTAAATGGGCTTTATGCACACCTCCACTACTTCCTGTCTTACATTATTAGACAAACTGATTAATCCAGGTGTGACTGATCATTGTGACTACTCTGACACACCTGGATTAATCAGTCTGTCCAATAATGGGAAATAAAGAAGCTGCATTAAATTCAGGAGGTAGTGGATTGGAACCCATATAGAACCCATTATGGGTTCTGGTCATTCGATTTTGTTGTTCAGGTTTGGTTATTTTGACAGCATGTGTCCAACTGGTTGGAGTTTTTTGGTTGTTGTCATTTATATTGTTTATGTAATTTGAGTTATTTTGGGTTTGTCATTTTTCTTTGAGTTTGAGCCCACTAATCTCTTTTTTGTGTCCTTTTTCAGTTGCTGAGAGCCAGCGGTGGTGGTTCACCCTTATAATGTGCTGTATCCCCGGTCCTCAGTTGTTACACTGTGTGAATTTTGGTGTTATTGTCACCTCCTTTGACTCACCGCACCTTGGTAAGATTCAGCTCCTAAAAAAGGTTCCCCCTTCCCTGAGTGGGTGTGATATTTTATTGAGGATTTTTTAAAATAAAGGATTTCTTTCTTTTTAAAATGAAACGTCTCCTGCTTCTTTTAAAGGCAGAACAAATCTGAGTGCTTTAAAAAATTTCCCTCAAAACTAATTCCTTGGGCGAAAATACCAAGGTGGCATTATTGGCTTTTAAAATCATCCAAAAACAACTAACATCTTAACCAAACTAAAATCTTTCATTTCACCCCTTGACCTGCCACATATGTAACAGGCAAAATGAAGGCATGCATGTTGCAATCATTTCTAGAGGGGTGAGTTTTGCTTTGCTGTTGAACTTGCTGCTTGTTGTCTGTAATTGTTCAGCACAGAGTAGGAAGTCTTGGCTTGAAGATGCAAACTCTGCAAGCTGCACCTGAATAACAGGGAAAATTGGACACCATGGAGCAATAATTTGACCCAATGTGTATACTGTCACATCTCCTGATTAGTTAAGTTGTTTTTATTTCATCCCTCATGTTTCTTGTGTTTCCTGTTTTAATACTCACCCTTGTCTCTTGTTTCAGGTTCATTGACTTCCTCCTCCTTGTGTAACCTGCTCCCCTGATTACCCCGATGTTCTGACCTCATTTCAGTATTGTTCGACTTGGCCTCTTGCCTGTTGATTTGGATACCTCTGCCTGTGCTTTTTTGGATCCTGTGTACCAACTCTTTTTTTGATTGTGAGTTTGCTTCTCTTTTGGTTCAGTGTTAGCCTGTCTACCTTATAAGGGTGTATACAGTGTGCATGGAAAGGGACACTCACGCTCTCTAAACGCTTGAATCCCTCTCTGTTATGCTGCAACTCAAGCCTTTTGTTTAATAAACAATTTGTCAGTGATGTATTGAACGCTGGCTCTAATTTGATTGTGTGTGAAATGTGTATAAAGATGGCTGCCTCCTCCTCCTCCTCCTCCCTTGCTTCTCCGCCCTCCTTCTTGCAGGTGTGTGTTTTTGTCCTATGTGCATGTGCGTCTATGTGTGCAGGAATAAAGATGGAGGAGCAATCCTTAAGGGTTTGCAATTACATCTAAACGGCATAATCGGACATGATGGATGGCGATTGCCTCTGCACGATGTCTAGACCTCAGCCCCAGCAGTGCAACAAGGTTACAGGAGAGTAGGAAATGATGGAAGATTTAATAGTTTTGTTCTGCTTTTCTCTTTTGAAGTCCCTCATTGGTGACCTCAGCAACATTTGAGCATTTATACCAGACAAATCAGGTTATTTTCTGGGTAAAATGGCTTGAATAACTTAATAAATCTGCCATTTTCCTGCGATTCAGGCAGCCTTTTCAAGGTGAATTAAATGTTTTTTCTTTATTTTTCGTTAAAATCATTTTTCTTACCTGTAAAAAGTAAAAGAAATGTAGGATAATGCTCTCTTTTGTATCAAATAAAACAATACAGACGCTAATCTGGGTTTTAAAATGAGGAAAAAGACACTGCTGGGTTGCATTCTCACTTACCGACTTTGTCAGTAGGTGGCACTGTGGCACAAGAAGTTCCCAGCAGCACAGCTTTCATGAGGTTTAAGGAGGAACATGTAAACCTCATAAGTGCAGGGTTTGAAGGTAACATAAGGTGTGCAGCTCTGGTTTCTTTACATTCAACTCTTCTTCTTCCCTTATTATCTCCATGCTTTGTTCTTGTTAGAGAAGAGACGGTATAACACGGTCCAGGAGGCCAAAAGGGTTGATTTAGGATCTGGGGTAAGATGCTAAATGGACACCAAGATTTGATGATTTTCCTCATGGCAGGTTGTTGTGATAGTCATGCATAATTTAAACCTTTAGCCTGATGTGAACTAAGAGCAGTCAGGTGAATGAAATCTTGATTTTTATGGTAAATGTTCAGAAAGTAAGAAAGCACCATGTGTGTCTGTCAATCTTGATGGTGGAAAAGTCAAGTGTAGGACTACTGAAAGGGAGCATACATTGATTTTCCACTTTAAGGACTTTGACTTCATTCTGGTGATAAAACTCACTAAACTGATTGCCAGATTTCACTTGTAGTAAAGTAGTTTTACACGGTCTTAAAAAAGGATTTGAGCTCTTTTAATGCAGCTCAAAGGAATCATTCAGTCTTTATATAATGTCAGTTATAACCTCAAGACTTCTATTTTTATATTATTATGGTTCTCTGCTCTCCTCTGTCCTCCTGCTCTTTTCCTTGCTCTCCTCTCTCTATCTGATGGACAATGCTTTTGCAGAGACGAAAGACATTTCGACTATTTCTTGCTGCTTATATTTTTGAAGATTTTGGAGAATTCCCCTGTTCAGCGTGCTTTGTCTGGAGATTTTGCACTGAACAAGACCAGTTAGGAGATGCTGTCACCGCTCAAATTGTCACTGACGAAGAAGAGAAGAGTGAACAACACGGTGACAAAGCGACACCTCTACACTCTGTCAGACATCTTTGATTGTGCTTGTTCGTTTTGTGACATCACCGAGCTGGCAACGACGCCCAGCTTCCCCCCCTGAGAGCCTCATTACCCACAATCCCAGAGGTTGACTTGCAATGTTGTCATCACCTAAAACGCCACACTTTCTCCCTCCTTCTCCCTCCTCCTCCTTCCTGCCGTTCTGCTCGGCTGATCAAGCTGTCGCTCGGGAGAATCACACAGATGTTCAGCGTGGAAAAGAAACACAAACAGCTCAAAAATAGACATGATCCCCTGGTAGAGAAAACACACTTCATGTCTTTGGGTGTTGTTGTTGTCACTGCTGATGTGTAAAACAGAGAAGAAGAAGAGACAGAGGCATGTCGGCATTGTCAGCTTCTCATTCTGATCCGATCAACAGGCCCCTCATGCAGCTGAGACCACCTCACAGAACTGGAAATGAGCTCCAGCTCTGAACCCATTTGACTGCTTCTTACCTACAGGATGGCCGAGTTTTTATGCCAGCGCTGTGATCAGGTTTATGTATTTCCAGACACGACTGTCATCCACTTGATTTACACAGAGAGACAGAGTGTAGATGGAGAAAAGGCAACCTCATTGCCTCGTCTGAATCTTGCAGCTGAGCTTGACAAAAACTCTGCGTGTACAAACAGCGTGGTAGATTCAAAATGACTCCTCTTATTTTGGCCACCAGTTTCCCCTCTACAGTTGGCTTTTTCAAAACAGCATTTACATGTATGAAAGTGAAAAGTGCCACTTTTACTCTAACAGTCACAAACGGTCTGTATTGTGAGTTCTACCTTGAAAGGTAGTAAGTGGAACCAGCTTTGCTATGAGCTCGTGCACGCATGTAAGGCGGAGCCCGCCGCATCTGACCAATCGTGAACATTGACCAGTCTGGAGCGTCAGAGCAGGCTGGAGAGCGAAGGACTGCGTACTTTACAAACGAGGAGCAGGAGACGATCATGAGAAAGTACGAAGAATTCAAATCTATCATAAACCTCAAAAGCAACACCGTCGCCGCTGCAAAAGCACGGAAGTAATGCTGGCAGAAAATTGCTGACAGTCTCAATGCGTAAGTATAGTGCGCAAAAAATCTTTGATGGCATTGTCACCCTGAAATAGTACTCTTCAAGATGTGCTTTTAACAAGCACCAGACATGTCTAATTCATTTCCATGATGAATTCATTCATTTGTTCATTCCTATCGTGTTTACATTTTTTGTGTGATATGTCGGCCATATGAGCCTTTCATAAAGGTGGTCATCCAGAAAAGTAAGTGTGCACCGGAGTGCTCCTCGGACAATGCGAGCACCGAGATCTATAGGATCCTCCAAGAACGGACATGCCATTTTCTGAAAGAGCTCATTGGTCAGTGGGCGGGGTTTTTATACTCCGTGAGTTCAATCTGGAACCTAACCTGCACCGGAGCAGGTTAGCCGTTCAGCGTTCATTGCCATGGAGACTCGCCTCGCTAAGAAGTGAACCTGTGTCGTAGAACAGGAAACCCCGAACTTACCCTCAAAGTTACCTCGCTAAGCAGTAATCCTGCTTCGTAGAACAGGCCCTAGGTCTAGTTCAAATAGAAACACTTCTGTTACTTCTGTTGAGCCTGGTCCCAGCAGTGGAGACTTGCCTCTGCATATACATGCAACTTGCTGGAGTTGTTGCTCTGGACACAAATCCAAACTATCCAACACTTTTTCTCTTAAAATTCAGCAAAAAAAAGTTACCAGTCTTCTCAACTTGAGTCACTTTTGCACTTAAATTTCCTTCTCCTCCCCCCTGCCGCCTGACCAGCTCTCTGCTGATACTCTAAAGGTTCCTTTGGCATTAAAAACCAGCATCCCCCTCCTCCTCCTCCTCCTCCTCCTCCTTCTCCTCCTCTGCAGCCAGCCATTAAAATGCAAAAACACCCACGCCAATATGATCGTTGAAAACACGGCAGAAACAAACGACTCTGAGAAATAGCCGCTGGCAGAGAAATCATTCTCGTCCTTAATGTCTGCGGCTCACAGCTCTGACAGTGAAAAACTGAGCGGGGAGGAAAAGTAGTTTCACCCCCTCTTGACTCTCACTGTGACATTCGCGGAGGTATTTACCTTGTAAAGATCTTGACATTTCACTGTGCGCTCTAATAACATCCTGAAATATGAATAAGAGCGCAGAGAGTGGAGAGGAGCCCCGCAGAGCTTTTGTTAACAGGTATTGATTGATACTGAAGGGGAAGGAAGGAAGGAGCGGCAGGCCATGGGGAGCCACTCTTTACTGATCGTCTGTTAACCTTGTCAAAAGATCTCGCCCGCTACCTCAAACCGGCCGGGGGCATCCTGAGCGGTCATCAGAGAGGGTTGTGATTTCCTTATCAAAGCAGAAAAATCCAGCCTGAAGCATGATTCACGTTAGTCAGGAGATGTCAGACAGCTGAATCGATACCCGAGTGAAGAAAATAACTGAGTGAGAGGGAGAGGAGTGATACTGAAACACTGACGACTCTATCATCTCCACAGGTGCACAGGTCAAGCTGAATCTGTGAACAAGAGACTCATTACTGACACACAAAAGTGAGATTTGTTTGCTCTTGTTTAGAGATAACTTTGACATCATCTTCCACGTTATGTTCTATTTTACAGGAATTTGATTTTCACTTTGATTAGAAATATGTCGTCAAAGAAAAGGGATCATTAATGAAGAGAAACAACATAGTAGGCTGTGTTCCAGTGGCGGCTGTTACAACCACACTTCCATAAGAGGACGGGATGCTGTGTAAAAGGCTAGTTTGCCGAAAATGGTGCAAAGATGGCATCTCAGATGTTGAGACTGACAAATTTTTGTTGTTATAAAGGGAAGACCTCATATTTCAGCAAGACAACAGCCACGTTTACATGGGCAAAATTTCTTTATCTGATTAAACATTTGAGGGATCGGATAATCTGAATCCACTGTTTATATGGCACAAAATCAAATAATCTGATCATGACATGTATATTCATTTAGATTAGAAGCATTTGGACATGCCCAGAGTTGTCTGATTTCCCTAAAACAACTGCAGAAGAAGAGTTGTATTTACACCTGTGCTGTCAACAAACCAACAAACGCAGTCGTGGCTCACTTCATCCAATTCAGGAGTTTTCCCCCTGTTAAATGTTGTTACTTGATGGCACCCTTGCGTAATTATTAGACCAGTCGTCTAGACTACATTTAGACGTCTATTAGACCTCTTTTAGACCAAAAAATAGTCACGGCATCTGCGGTTGTGTTTTATGCCAGAGTGTTAATAATGACACCTCCTGTACTGACCTCAATAAATAAGCCAAAGTCATGTGTATAGTCAGTGTATAGTCAGTCAAAATTCGGATCGCAATCTTCCGATCAACATGTTTACATGTTTATTCTGATCGGGCATTTATTCTGATTATTTGTGCCCATGTAAATGCAGCTAATGACAAACCATTCCATTTGAGCTGAAT